AAGAGGGATTAATTTGAGGTAGTTCAGCTAGGTCTTTGGAGGGTGTTAAATGCCTATGGCCAGAGGAATCAGACCACAGCAGGCATCCCTCAGATGGAACACGGAAGTCTGCTTAGTCACTGGCTGGCTTAGTCTGTCCTGGCTCCACAGTAGACTGGATAGTTTACAAACAGCAAGCACTCATTTCTGAGAGTCACCTGGGTTAAGAAGTTTGTATCAAGGTGGATTCTGTGGCGGGAAACAGCTCCGTTCCTAGTACATGGGCTGCCATCTTCTTGTCAAACTTCCACACGGTAGAGAGGGCAAGGGACTCCGTGGGGGTCTCATTTGTGAAGCCACTAATATCACTTATGAGGGATGTTTCTTCATCACTCCATCACCCTCCAAGGCCTCTTGACCTCATCACACTGAGCAGAGAAGATCTCAGTGTGGGTTTAGGTAGGGCGTAAGCTCAGGTGAGGAACTAGGTACTGAGTGAGGCACGGGGTCCTGGGGTTGACCCTTTTTGGGGCTGTTAGATTTGTGGACAGCATTACGAAAAGAAATATTTCAGTGCTCAGAAACCTGAAACTAGTAGGAGTGTGTGTGTGTGTGTGTGTGTGTGTGTGTGTGTGTGTGTGTGTGTGTGTGTTTATAGGTAGCAAAGGAAAGTATACTGGTTAGTTGTGGCCAAGTTGGTATGAACCGGTCATTTTGAAAAAGGAAACCTTAACTGAGAAGATGTCTTCATTAGATTGCCTATTGGCAAGTTCCTGGGACATTTTCTTGATTAGTGATGGATGTGGGAAGCCCAGGTCATTGTTGGTGGTATAAAAAGCAGGCTGAGCAAGCCTAGGGGAGCAAGCCTGGGGGGCAAGCCAGTAAACAGCATTACTCTCTGACCTCTGCCTGAGTTCCAGCCCTGCATGAGCCTTGCCTTCCTTCATTGACGGACTGTGACTGGGATAAATAAACCAAACATACCCTTCCCTCCCCCAAAATGTTTTTGGTCATGGTCTTTTTCACAGCAATGGAAAGCAAACCAGACAAGCACTTTTGTGGGTCCTTGGGCTGAATCCGGGTAACTTCAGATAAGATCTTTGGGATAGCACCCTGCTGCGCTGGGGAGATGACAGATCTATGTGTGGGTAACATCCCATCTGCGGTTAACATCAGTTGCGGAGTCTCAAAACCTGTCTAGCTCCGAAATTCTCCGAGGGGATACCAAGCAAGGCCCAAATAAAAAGAGACCCGGTCCTGCCCTGACTCCTCCCTCACTCCCTTCTGCGCTTCGCAGCAAATCCTTCATTTCCAAAGTCTAGACTTAGCTGATGCCCCCAGTACACACCTGTTCCAGGATTCGGCACCATCTCTGTCTGTGTGGACAGTGGCTGAAGGACGCCAAAAGGAGGCCACAAGACCTGTCTAGAGCCCAAATTGCAACTGAGGAGTCTCATCGTTCAAAGGGAGGTTCTCTCGTGCAACCCCTGAACTTCTTCTAAAGCCCCGTAAGAGCGAAATGAAACAGCCACTGAGTCCGGAAACAATCCAGGACAGGAAAGTCGTTTTCATTAGGGACCTAAGGCATCAGATGCGAATAAAGTAATGAGAGAGGAGATTGGTTTTATTTTCTCTGTGGCTGGTTGGAGAGAATGGGGTGTGACGCCTGACTGTGTGGCAGTGTCGCTGAAGCATCATCTTTCTTATTCTCTTCGTCCTGTCTTATGGAATAGCCAGTGGGAATGATTGCACTGCTGGGAAGTGGGTCTCATCATTAGGACTTCCTTGATCAGAGTGTCTCACTTCAACTCGGCTTAAGAATCCCCAGCAATGACGCCGGGCGTTGGTGGCGCACGCCTTTAATCCCAGCACTCGGGAGGCAGAGCCAGGTGGATCTCTGTGAGTTCGAGGCCAGCCTGGGC